GTCTGAAAGTCACAAAATAGCCAGGTGAATTTCCAAACATTACGTCAGCAGTTTTATTCCTAACCATTTTTTACCACGGAGAATCTTTATTCGGGACAGCAGCAATTTCAACGATGCAACCTTTTGACGACGACCTTAGAGCAAGAGTCACGTTGTTTTGATTTTAGAATAATTTTAGAGCAATTTTAGAACAGCTTAGCTTATTTTTGGCGATGCAATCTTTCAACGCTGAGACTATATTATCAAAAGCAATAGAACAGATTTTTACATCAAGAATTGTCTCATCATTGGTTAAGAAATTGCGTTACACCACCATGTTCGCTTAAGTACGCCTGAATCACCGAATATTTCGTCTACGCATCCTAATCGCCTTTCTTTGTAAATTACTCAAATCCGCTACAAGATGTTGATATTGCTGGGAAGCTCGTGGTACAATTTCGCTTACTATCATTTTTTAGCTGCTTAACATTCACTCCCCTTGTGTGGTGCCTAATTCATAAAATCACTAGCAGCAGTCATAACAATGTTCGGCCGCGTGCTCCGCAGTACGAAGCTCATGGCGCTTCCTGCTCGCCAAAACGCTCAAGTGCGTCGTCTTAACCTACATGAATTTCAATCGCTCGAGATCATGAAGGGATTTGGCGTCGCAACACCTCTGGGTATTCCTGCCGACACGCCGGCCGAAGCCAAGGCCGCATTTAAAAAGATCCGCGGCGACCGTGGTCCGTATTTCTATTTGTCATTGAGCTGTAGAAATATTGATTTATAAACTGATAATTATGGTATAACATTACAGAGGGTGTAGATGTTGTGATTAAGGCGCAGGCGCTTACGGGCGGTCGTGGCCTTGGTACATTTAAGAATGGGTTCAAAGGTGGTGTGCACATGTGCACAAGACCTGAGCAAGCTGAAGAATTGGCCAAAAAAATGCTTGGGGAGACTTTAGTGACCAAGCAAACAGGTGAAAGAGGCATTAAAGTAGCCAAAGTCTTCCTCATGGAGCGCGTTTGGATGCGTCGTGAAATGTATTTTTCTATTCTGATGGACCGTGCGTCCCAAGGTCCCGTTATGGTGGCCTCACCTGCGGGTGGAACATCCATAGAAGATGTGGCTGAAGCCACACCGGAATTGATCTTTAAGGAGAGCATCGATATCTCCACGGGTCCAACAGATGCACAAGTAACGCGTCTTGCCAAAGCTTTGGGCGGTGAAGGTGAGGTACTAAAGAAGTTAGAGACACAGATTAAAAATCTGTACAAGATGTTTGTTGGTGTCGATGCAACGCTTGTTGAGATCAATCCATTGGCTGAAACTCGTGAAGGAGAAATCTTTGCTTGTGACGCCAAGCTCAACTATGATGACAACGCGGCTTTTCGTCATAAGGACATCTTTGCGAAACGTGATAAGACCCAAGAAGACCCCCGTGAAGTGGAGGCCAGTGCTTATGACCTGAATTACATTGGTTTGGACGGTAACATTGGCTGTCTTGTGAATGGTGCTGGATTAGCAATGGCTACAATGGACATTATCTCCCTATACGGTGGTTCGCCTGCAAACTTCCTAGATGTGGGTGGAGGTGCATCGGAAGCGCAAGTTAAGAAAGCGTTTGAGATTCTCGATGGCGATAACCAAGTCAAATCGATCCTCGTAAACATTTTTGGCGGAATCATGCGCTGCGATGTGATCGCTGCTGGTATAGTGGCAGCCGTGAAGGATTTAGGCCTAAAGAAGCCGGTGATAATTCGTTTGCAAGGCACTAATGTCGAACCTGCGCGCAAAATCATTGCCGAGTCGGGTATCAAAATGATTGTCGCCGACGATTTGGAGGATGCAGCTGAGAAGGCTGTGAAAATTGCCGACATTGTCGCACAGGCGGAAAAAGTGAAAATTGGCGTTGAATTTGGTGTGTAAGTTTGCAATGAAAGTCAAAACAGAGGATTTGCTGGATGAATAAAGCATTACCATGATTCAAATGTGAAGAGTCTTCGTCTGCAATTGTTGTAACAAATGTAAGCAGTCTGAACAGACATTTGATATTAAATCCAATCAGTGGTTGAAATTATAGTAAGTGCATAATCATAAAGTGATTTTGTTTTCAACTCTACTTAGTCTCTCGTCCAGAAGTCATTGTCGTGACTATCCACTCCATACCTTCTTGCAAACCCTCGCCCGTCTTGGCCGAACAAGCCTGAATGTGCCACGTACGGTCGCGAATCGTCGCAAGATTAAGTGCAGTGGAAATCTCCCCTGATGGCAGCGCATTAAGCAAGTCTTGCTTATTAGCAAACACAAGGATCGGTACATTCGAAAGCTTTTCTTCCTCCAAAAGAGTAACTAGCTCCAACCCTGTCTCTTCAAGACGACGACGATCTGCACTGTCAATAACGTAGATCTACATAAAATGATTAATTCTACACATAAGTCAATACGCATGGAGGTCAATCATGCTGCAACGCACCAAAGCATCCGTTTGCTCGTAATAATTACGCCAATACGGACGAATCGTCTTTTGACCACCAATGTCCCACATATTTAGCTTGAAACCATCAACCTGAAGACTCTTGACATTAAACCCTTGTGTAGGCATGATATGACTTATATCCTCTTCCGACAATTTCTTTAATATGGTTGTCTTGCCACCATTATCCAGTCCTAAAACAAGAATACGTGCTTCACTGTCGTCTTTCTTCAGTTTCCTTAAAAGATTCAATAGACCCATAATCACTTGTTTAGTAGTAACAAGAATTCGACCACGGCGAGCTTTTTCAAGAGTAAGAGATGGCGCTTCGTTACATAGCTACGTTCCATTATTAAATGAACGATCCGTTTCGAAACGACGAGGCCCAAAAGCGAATATAAAGTAATTTGATGTGGCAGCTGAACACCTGTAATGTACGAATTTACGATTGGTTGGGTGAGCTCAAACAAAAATCCGGTAGCTTCAGATTGATGGCATTAGTCAATTTTCAGTGCGAGAAGCATTTTAGCTTGTACAGACTCAAATGATGGTCGCAAACATACCAAGATCTGCTCTGAAGTTTTGTGAGGAAATCCTCTCGGTAACTCGAGAGATGAATGCACTGATGAGTTCACAACTTATGTCGCTATGTTTGTTGCTTTTTAGATTTAGTGCTTGTTTTAACGATTAGATTTAAATACTGCTGTAAGAAGTGCAGAGTTACTTGGCACCGCAGTAGGTTACCTACCTATGATCTTTTCATATGGCGTTCGCAATAGTCAATAAGGCTACAGAATATGACCACAATTACTGCTCTATATCGTTCTTTGCCAGAAAGCGTGTCGACAATGGTAGACCACGATGTTACCATGTATGTGCCAGCTTTACGCTTTATGTACGTGGCTGCACCTCCAAATATCGACGGCAAGTTCCTGAATGCTTATTACTTAGAATAACATTTTATTCACTCCATGGACGCTGTGAGTTCTCGGGTTTCACTTCGCATGGAAAAAAAGTGCGGCCACCATTAACGTGAAAAAGCGTACACATTTTCAATACTAAACTTTGAGACATCGAACGCATTGAAGCGCTCTCGGATTCAAATAGCAACAAACAATGTGCCTGTCCATTACATTGAAAGCCAGTTGGCACAGAATTTTGCTCTCCATGATGTAAGCTTCATATGTTTAATGGCGCTATCAATTAAATCATTTTTGTATCCTTTTGCGATTCTCCCTCTTCATCACCGATTCTTCGATAATGCAATGCAGACAAGGCACTTGTGTAGTATTTGAGTGCGAAAGTTACAAGTCTTCAAATCTCCAAAGCGTTTAGCTGTTCAACACCGATATTTTGTGTTTAAGCTTACTTCACCTCATCTATGCTTTGTGTGAGTGTAGGAACACTTGTCGCCACACAATACGCTAGCATCTGACAAAAAATGACAGCATTCCCATAACTCCTTATTGCAGGATTGTTCTAGCTGAAATTTACTTAGCAAGACACTTTCTAAATATCATGAGAGGTTTGAGCCATTTCATATCCCCAATTTGAAGCGGAATCTCTTTTCACTCATCGTATCTGGTACAAAGTCGGCACCAATGAATAGATTGCATTAAGAGATGTTCAGGCAATGCACCTGTCCAGTACCTAAATTAGAATTTTAGCGACATAATTGGCAATATCGGAGTCCATCAAGGATAGCGACAAGCAGAGTCCAAGTTTTTTATAAATATCTAGTGCACGTTTGTGATTGCTAATGCTGTAAATTCTAGCTAGCTACACCAGTATGTTGGTTGAAACTTTAGTCGTAGCGAGTTACGGTCTATTGTTGAATCTCAAGAGCTAAAGAGGTTAGATGATGAATGATAGAGAAAAAGGAAAAACGATCTTTATTTAACTTTTCCCCTGACTGCTACGCAGCATCAATGCTATATCGTGATAGTTGGAACCTTCGATGAGGCTTGTTTATCAGTCAATTTAGCATCAGGCGCACGAGCCATGACCTAAACAAGCTTTTTCACAGCAAAAGGCGAGATTCCCTTCTTGCAAACCTTCGCAGCAAAGTAGTTTTGCCGAGCTTGTATCCGTTAGGCATTGGTGAATGCAACTATCTGTACCATCAGAGGTGGCAACAAGACCAGCAAGCCAGATAAGGCAAATCGTGAGCTTCATGGTTTGCCGTATGAAATTGGGACAGAGTTGAGAGGCCTTTGTCAAAATGACGAGTGAGATTATATACCTCAATCTACAGACAGATTTCGCAGCAAATCATTTGACTGGTCCGAAGAAAATCAGGAAAATATATAGTCCAAGATTTCTGACAAAGCAGAAAACGGACGTGATTTTGCAATCCCCTCCCCGGCACAAAAACTTGATGGATACGAATTGCGTGTTGAAGATGGAGGAGAGACCAGTGTCGATGTCGCAATTCCATAAATTATTGCTTGCCTTTTACTACAAATTTCTGATCAGGTCATTTCTTTTGATAAAAAAAATGAATCGATTACACACCCCTTCAAATCGATATCAATAACTTAAGGTAATTGATATTCACCAATGAAGAGATGAGTAGGTCACGGGTTAAGGTTTGTGATTATGTCAATAGCGGGTACGATCAGATTGTGTAGATTGAATCTCATTGATGATTACCCGCTTGTTTATCTGCCGAATAACTTTATATATATTGATGACTTCTTCTGGATTCATCTGGCAAAAGAATGCACCATATACCCTAGTGCAGATCATGCAAGGAAGTTCTGCCATTGAATTTGAAAATCTTTCTGAACTTCTTTGACCGTCTGCTTGGAATCACTCCATCAGGGTGTTGCATAAGAAATATTCTGATTAGAGCAGGGAAAACCCCCTATCACCCGAGTTTTTTTAAAGACTGTACTATATGCAACAGCAAAGCCTGCAGTATTGTGCATGGCTAGGTTCATGCAAGTACTTACTTCGAATGTGTTTTTGAATTTTCTTGATCAACGTGACATTTTAGCTCACCTGAAGCGAAGAAAGCTGAAGTTGTTGCATTTAAAACTTCAGTCTTCTGAATTTATAATAACAACTTGTTCAAAAGATAAATCTATTAGATGAGCCGAAAATATGATTACATTTGTGTCGACTGATTAAAAAAGCTGTCTAGTGACGTTTAACGCCTGTATGCTAAGAATTGTGAATTTACCAGCTTGACGTTTTCCCGCTATGAACGTATATGATAGTGTGAGTTGAACGTACCCGGAGACGTCGATGAAGATTGCAAGATTGCAGCTGTCATGATCTTAGAGAGAGGGCCCCCCGTCACCGCATCGATGAAAGATATCATACCTTGGGCATAGTCAAGTAAGATCTTCTTTCTTGATGGACGGATAAGACTTGATCGCAAGCAGTACGCTTGGTTAGGTGATGCAAACACCCACAACAACCTACGCTTCAACGTTTCATTCGTCGGAATGACACGCTCACGCACTGTCTCCTAGCTGTGAGACCACTCGTGTAACGGTCTGACGCTTCGTCCGAATGTAGCCAAATTTATGGTCTCGTCTCTGCCCGTGAAGGGTTTAACGCTAAACATAAGCCGTCTAAAGATGGGAGCCGGTTGTGTTTCCACCGAAGCATGGTTAAAGTCATCTTTGTGGTGACGCTTTAGCACACACTCAGAACTGGAGAAAGATTGAAACTTCCGGTCTTAGGCTGTAAATTATACCACTCGGAGCCAAAGCGAGAGATGAGCTTACCAGAAGAGCACAGTACAATCGTCGAACATTTTGTGTTCCAACCGCACCAAGGATACAGTCTCGTAAGATTCAGTCGTCGGATAGACGAGACATGCTACAGAATGCTACCAAATACCACGGAGCTGTTGAGTACATATAACAGAAAAAGCTGCTACTCATTCATTCCGCGTCAACTAGCGCACAAAAAATTGGTTCATACGCTTCACCATAGACAAAACTGAGAGCGCTTCAAGCGACAAACTACTTAGTAGCCTTTACCTTTGGATAATACTTCTGTATGTATGCATCAAGATGAAATATCACCGCATCTAATTGAGACTGTTGACAGAGGTCTGTGCGATCATGTGCTGGTTCAATTACCACCTTAGTATCATTTTCCAACGAAAAGTAGCAGCGTTACTACAATCAATTATTAAGATCTATGTTTGTGCGTGTTTCGTCTGTCTGTGTTGCTTTTGTACATTCAGGTTTCAGACATAGCATTGGCCACCCCGCTTGAATATTATGTCATTGAGATACTAACACAGATCTTAAGACTAAGCTCCATTCCAGTATCGATCGCGATTATAAGTGATTTAACGACCTTTGTACTTATCGCACACACTCGATTAATGGCGCTTCGTCACATAGCTACGTTCCATTGAGGCCCAAAAGCGAAGATAAGGTAATTTGATGTGGCAGCTGAACACCTGTAATGTACGAATTTACGCATAGCTTCAAATTGATGGCATTTGTCAATTTTCAGTGCGAGAAGCATTTTAGCTTGTACACACTCAAATGATGGTCGCAAACATACCAATATCTGCTCTGAAGTTTTGTGAGGAAATCCTCTCGGTAACTCGAGAGATGAATGCACTGATGAGTTCACGATTTTTGTCGCTGTGATTGTTGCTATTTAGATTTAGTTGCTTGTTTTAACGATTAGATTTAAATACTGCTGTAAGAAGTGCAGAGTTAATTGGCTTCGCAATAGGTTACCTACCTATGATCTTTTCATATGGCGTTCGCAATAGTCAGTAAGGCTACAGAATATGACCACAATTATTGCTCTATATCGTTCTCTGCCAGAAAGCGTGATCAAATCGATCGACCATGGTAGACCACGATGTTACCATGTATGTGCCAGCTTTACGCTTTAAGTACGTGGCTGCACGTTCCTGCTAATTACTTAGAATAACATTTTAGCCAATCCATAGACGTTGTAAGTTCTCCGTCGTTGAAAAAAAGTGCGGCCACCGTTAACGTGAAAAAGTGTATACAGTTTTAATATATAACTTTCAGAGGGCACATCGAACGCATTGAAGCGCTCTCGGATTCAGATAGCAACAAACAATGTGCCTGTCCATATACATCGAAAGCCAGTTGGCACAGAATTTTGTTCTCCATAATATAGGCATCATATATTTAATGGCGCTATCAATCAATTCATTTTTGTATCATTTTGCGATTCTCTTGAAATAAGTTGGCTTTGGCCCCTTCATCATTGATTCTTCGATAATGCAATGCAGACAAGGCACTTGTGTAGTATTTGAGTGCGAAAGTT